CGCCAGGTTCACCATGAGCCCCAGAACATCCCATGGGGGGGGTTGGGAGCCGAGGAGGCGACCGAGCTGGCCCAAAGGCTCCGGTTTATTGGGGCACGGTGTCAGGCGGTGCCGGTGCCCTGCTGCATGCGCCGCAGCAGCTCCTCGTCCTGCAGCGACAGCTCCGTCAGCTTCTTGCCCATCCTCTCGTGCACCTCCAGGTACTTGGCCACGCACCGGTCCAGGCACACGCTCTCCCCCTTCGACAGCTCCGCGTCCTTGTAGTGGGGGGGGACGCACTTTCGGTGGCACGCCTGCGTCATCCTGCACCGCACCGGCACCCTCAGGCCCTGCGCCCCCGCTGTCACCCAGCACCCCCATGTGCCCACCCTCAGTGCACCCCATTTCCCAGGCAGCACCTATAGAGCCCCCCATGCTCCTGACACCCCACCAGCCCCAGCACCCCACGGACCCCCAGTGCCTCTTGTATCCCCCAGTGCCCTCCCCAGCCACGGGCACCCACAGTGACCCCACAAACCCAGGCATCCCAAGTGCCCCCCCCAGCCATAAGCACCCCCTCGCCATGAGCACCCCGCATGGTCCTCATTCCCCAGCCCCCCCCAGTGACCCCCAGCCAGCCACGGGCAGCCCCACAGAGCCCCGATGCCCAGCACACCCGGGTACACGCAGGGTCCCGCAGCCATTGGCACCCTCAGTGACCTTCCCCAGACCTGGGCATTCCAGGCGTCACCCCAGCCACGGGCAGCCCCAGGGACCCCCATCCCCGGGCACCCCCGGCCCCTCACTGCCCCCGCCCCGTGCCCCCCGTACCCCCCAGCCCCGCCGGCCCGGCAGCGCTCACCGGTTGTACATGTCTGCCATCATGTCAACCTCCAGCTCGGCTGCCAGCTGCTGCGCCCGCAGCGGGTCCATGGCGCTGCGCAACGGCCCCGCACGCTTCCGTGCCGCTCGGTTCGGTGCCGCTCGGCTGTCCTCGGCCCCGCTCGGTTCTGCCCCGCTCCGTTCTGCCCCGCTCCGTTCTGCCCCGCTCCGTTCTGCACAGCTCCGTTCTGCCCCGCTCCGTTCTGCCCCGCTCGGCTGCGCTCGGCCCCGCTCCGTTCGGCCCCGCTCGGCTCGGTTCGGGCCGCTCTCGGTTCGGCCCCGCTCGGCTCGGTTCGGGCCGCTCTCGGTTCGGCCCCACTCGGTTCGGCTCTTCCCGACTCGGGACCCCGCGGCAGCTCCCGGCAGGAACCACGTGGGCGCCGCACTTCCGCCCACACGCAGAACGGCCCCGCCCCAGAGCAGGCTTCAGCCAATAAGAAGCCAGGCTGGTGGAGAACAGGATCGCGTCCCCAGCGCTGATTGGGAGCCGCGAGAGGGGGCGTGGTGGCGCCAGCAGCCTCGGAGGGGGGAGGGGGGAGCGCGATTTGCCCCTCACGGGCGGGGGGAGGCACCCCCGAGGAGGGGCGGGGCTTGGGGTGGGCTCCGCCCCCTGCCCGTCCCGGGGGTCTCCGTGTCCCCCCCGTGTCCCCCCGTTCCTGGTCCCCCCGTTCCTGGTCCCCCCCGTGTTCCCCCGTTCCTGGTCCCCCCGTGCCTCTGTCCCCCCTGTGTCCCCCCCGTGTCCCCCCGTTCCTGGTCCCCCCCGTGCCTCTGTCCCCGCTGTGTCCCCCCCGTGTCCCCCCGTTCCTGGTCCCCCCGTGCCTCTGTCCCCCCTGTGTCCCCCCCGTGTCCCCCCGTTCCTGGTCCCCCCCGTGCCTCTGTCCCCGCTGTGTCCCCCCCGTGTCCCCCCGTTCCTGGTCCCCCCCGTGCCTCTGTCCCCCCTGTGTCCCCGCCGTGTCCCCCCGTTCCTGGTGCCCCCGTGCCTCTGTCCCCCCTGTGTCCCCCCCGTGCCCCTGTCCCCCCCGTGTCCCCCCGTTCCTGGTCCCCACCGTGCCTCTGTCCCCCCTGTGTCCCCCCCGTGTCCCACCCGTTCCTGGTCCCCCCCGTGCCCCTGTCCCCCCCGTGTCCCCCCGTTCCTGGTCCCCCCCGTGCCTCTGTCCCCCCTGTGTCCCCCCCGTGCCCCTGTCCCCCCCGTGTTCCCCCGTTCCTGGTCCCCCCCGTGCCTCTGTCCCCCCTGTGTCCCCCCCGTGTCCCCCCCCGGTCCCCCCCCCCGTCTCCCGCTGTCCCGCCCCCTCTCGTGCCCCGCTCGTGTCCCCCCGCCCGGCCCCAAGTCCCCCCCGCGCCCCCCCGGCCCCACGCGTGCCCCGCGGCTCGCGGTGACTGAAGGCGGCACCTGCCCCGCCGGGTAAAAATAACCCCGGGCGGGCGGGCGGGGGCAGCGGGAGCGGCCGGAGGGGGACGGGAGCGGCCGGGACGGGGAGAGCGGCACCGGGGACGCGCCGGGGGACAACCGGGAGGGACGGACAGGGGGGACACCGGGGGGGGCGTGGGGGCCGGGACGCGGGAGGGGGGGGTGGGACACGGGGGGTTGGGAGGAGCTGGGGGGGGGGGGGCCGGAGGGGTCAGGGGGGGTCTGGAGTGGGAATTGCGGGGCTGGAGATGGGGAAGAGGGGCTCGGGATGGGACACGGGGGTGTGGGAGGGATGCATGGGGAAGTCGGAGGGATTGGGGGGGGGGGGGAGGGCAGAAGGGTTGGGGGACGCCCCAGAGGAGAGATGGGGGTCGGGAGGGGAAATATGGGGTCCGAGGGGTTCGGGGCAGGACACGGGGAGCTGGAGGGGGAGTATGGGGTGGGGGGTCGGGAGCACACCGGGATCGGGACGTGGAGGGGGGGGCGCGGTACGGGGTCAAAGGGGGTCTGGAGGGAGTTTGAGGGATCGGGAGGGGGAATTTGGGTCCGGAAGGGGCCTGAGAGGGGGTAGGATGGGAAACGTGGGCTCGGGAGCAGGTGTGGGGGAGAAGGAAGGGGGAATGGGGGTCGGGATGGGGAAAGGGTGAATCGGAGTGGGACATGGGATACAGGGAGACTGGGATAGCGGGGTCCGGTATTGGGGGGGGCGTCTGGGGGGGGGCGGGGGGCCAGACTGGGGTGCCGGGAAGGGGCACGGGGACCCTGGATGGGAATGTAGGCTGGGCAGGGGCAGCAGAGCAGACTTGGGGGGAGAATAGGGTTGCCACGGGTGTGGGGGGCACGGGGCCGGGCTGGGGCAAGGGGGGGCACCCCAGTGACAGCCCTGTGCCCCCGCAGCAGTGACCACAGCGGCATGCAGTCCCTGGGAGACACCAAGACCTCCGCACCGGGCACCCCCACACCGGGAACCTCCAGCGCCACTCCAGAGCCTCACGCGGCGCCAGCGGAGGGCAACGGGGATGGGGGAGACCCCCAAGGAGCGGGGGGGGCTGGGGGGGAAGAGCAGGGGCCAGGGGCAGCGGGGGACTCTGGGGGCGACACCAAGGGGGAGGCTCAGGATGGAAGGGCGGGCAGCGGGATGGGGGGGGATGCAGCGGGGGATGCGGGGGCAGCTCAGGATGCGGGGGGCAGTGCCCAGGGAGCGGGGGACACGGCGGGGGAGGCTGAGGACGTGGGGGGCAGTGAGGGGGACACAGGGGGTGCCAGGAGAGAAGCACCAAAGGACGCCGGGGGCGAAGCGGGGGATGCCGAGGGTGACACCGGCAATGACACCGGGGGTGATGCCGGGGGTGCTGCGGGTGACAGCGGGGGTGACAGCGGGGGTGATGCCGGCAGTGACACCGGGGGTGACATCGGGGATGCCGGACGTGACTCCGGGGGTGATGCCAAGGCGGTGGCAGCCGCGGGGGCTGCTCCGGGGGGGCCGCAGGATGCGGCTGGGCCAGGGCCGGCAGCAGCAGGGAGCACCCCGCGGCGGCAGGTGAGACCCGGGGGCCGGGGCCGGGGGTGGCGGTGCCAGCGCAGGGCGGCAGTGGAGGGACAGGGTGACGCTGTCCATGGTGGCGGCACCAGGGCAGGTGACGGTTCCTGTGCCGTCAGTGCCACCCTGGCTGTGCCCACAGGAGCCGACCTGGATGCAGGACGAGGATGAGGAGCTGTGGCCCGAGTTCCCTGCCAGCAGCCCCACGTCCCCCCTGTCCCCCACATCCCCCCTGTCCCCCACATCTCCCATGTCCCCCACACCCCCCCCGTCCCCCACATCCCCCATGTCCCCTACATCCCCCCTGTCCCCCACATCCCCTATGTCTCCCACATCTCCCACATCCCCCACAGGTAAGGGCTGTGCCTGGCAGAACCCTGGGGTCATGGCTACCCCACACCCCCATGGGATCCCCTACAGATTCCCCCCATCCCCTTCCCATGGGGCAGGACCTCCAGCCCTGTGCTCTGGGGGTGCCTGGGGAGGATGCATTTGTCCCCACCCCCTGGTGCCGCCTCCCTTCACAATCCCTCCTTTATCCCCTGCAGCTGGCACCACCGAGGGCTTGGGGGGCAGTGAGAGGTGAGTGTGGGCAGGGGGGGCCCAGCCCCACTGCAGAGCACCCCATGGGCACTCATCCATGTGCCCTCAGGGGTGCTCCAACGGGGGGGCCACGGAGCAAGGTGTCCCCTGGGCCAGTGGGGCAGAGGCCAAGGCTGGAGGGAGCCGTGGGGAGGCCACGTTCGAGCACCCGGGCCCACGGGCGCAGCGCCATCCTGGAGAAGTTTGGAGGGTGAGGGGCCTCAACCTATGATGGGACAGGGCGCAAGGGCATATGGGGGGGACATGGGGCAGAGAGGGCCACAGAGGAATGGAGGCCATGGGACAGGAGAGGTACTGGGGGACCATGTGGCAACGGGGGCATGGGAGGCAAGGGGCAGTAGTGCACATGGGGAGACTTGAGGTCCCTGTGCAAATGGAGGGTGCAGGAGGGTTGAGGGGGCCATGAGACAATGTGTCAGCGGGTGTACTGGGGGAGCGATGTAGGGTGTGTGGGGTGCTCCACGGTGTCTGGCATTGCCTGCAGGGCAGCCACGGGGCCAGCCCCACACCTGAAGCGGGTGGGGGGCACGGCCACGGTGAAGGCGATGCTGCTGGAGTGGTGCCGCGCCAGGACCCGCGGGTACGAGGTGAGAACAGGGTCGATGCTGCGGGGCTGCCATGGGGCAGCCGTGGGGCAGTGTGGGGGCGCCATGGGGCTGTGTGGGGGGACCATGGGGCAGCCGTGGGGCAGTGCGGGGCAGTATGGGGGGGCCGTGGGGCAGTACGGGGCAGTATGGGGGGGCCGTGGGGCAGCCTGACCCCTCCGCCCGCTGCAGCACGTGGACGTGCAGAACTTCTCGGGGAGCTGGGGCAGCGGCCTGGCCTTCTGCGCGCTCCTGCACAGCTTCTTCCCTGACGCCTTCGACTACGGCAGCCTGGAGCCGGGCGCGCGGCGCCACAACTTCACCGTGGCCTTCACCACCGCCGAGTGAGTGAGAGCAGCCCCGGCCCCGGCCCCGCACGGACGGGCGGCCCCGGCTGACCCCGTGTCCCCGCAGGGAGCGGGCGGGCTGCGCCCCGCTGCTGGACGTGGAGGACATGGTGCGAATGGCGGTGCCCGACGCCAAGTGCGTCTACACGTACCTGCAGGAGCTGTACCGCTGCCTCGTGGCCAAGGGGCTGGTGAAGACCAAGAAGCGCTGAGCGGGGTCCCCGCTGTCCCCCCCCGGGACACCCCCTGCTGCGGTCCCCAACAGTAAAGGCTGTGGTGATGGATGGGCTGCGGTGGCCTCATCTTCCGTGGGCGCACAGCCTCGCTGACACCCCCCGATGCCTCCCTCCCCCTAAGTGAGACCCCGCGGGGCCAGTGCAGGAGCAGGAGAACCTTTATGAACCCACGTAACGGTGAAGCGCCGGAGCGGGCTCAGGGCTCCGGCCGCGGCTCCGCGTGCCGCCGCGTGTGCTCCTCCGCGCGGCGATGGAACAGCTCGGGCCGGTCCCGCAGCTCCCGGGCCAGGTCCTGCCGCAGCACCCGCTGCGGGTCCGGGCTGTCCAGCAGCAGCAGCAGGTTCTGCAGCACTACGGGCACCGGGGGGGCGGGAGCGGTCAGGACGGGCAACCCCCGGTGCCGTGCCCTCGACACCCCCGGGGTGCCCACCTTGTGTGGCGCGGGTGCTCGGCACCCAGTGCTGGGTGGAGGTGAGGGGCTGGCAAACGTGGCCCTCGGCGTCCACGCCGGGGTGGTAAATGCTGGTGCAGAGCCTGGCGCGGGGCGGGGACAGCGGGTGGTGGGGCGAGAACGCCAGCTCGAACCGGAAGGCGCCGGCGTTGTACGGGGGGGTGTTCTGCCGCGGTGGTGGGGGGCACACATCAGCAACCCCCCCCCAACAGCACCCATGGGGGGGACCCTGTCCCAGCCGTGATCTCCTGCGCTCCCCGTGGAGACCTCCCCCCGCCTGAGCCCGCAGGAGGGGAACCCCAACCCGGTGCCCCCGCCCCATGCTGCCCTCACAGGGACACCCCTGGAGACCAGAGGGGAACCCCAATCCCCCACTTCCACAGGGGCCACCCCCCACTCCGGGCCCCCCCCCGATGCCCCCCCCGGCCCGCACCGGCAGCAGGAGCCCCCCCCATCGCAGCACGTTCCCGTCCAGCGGCCCCAGCTCCCGGGCCCCGCCCCAGCGCCGCGCCTCCTCCAGCGCCTGCGGGAGGGGGAAAGGGCGGGGTCAGACCGGACACGCCCCTCAGGGCGAGGCTTCCCCCAGAGGTGCGCTCCCATTGGCGGGACCGCTCCGCGGGACACGCCCCCATGGACGGGACCCAGCCTCAGGGGCGGAGCCGCAGGGCTTGGCCACGCCCCGTCTCCCAATGAGGGTGGGGCCCAACAAAGCCCCGCCCCGCCTCGGTTCTGCTCCTGCCAGGGAAACGAAACCGGAGCGCGGCGCTCCCCGACAGGGCTGGATTGGCTTCAGCCGGCACCGGCACCCCGACACCCCTGCACCGGCACCCGGACACCCCTGCACCGGCATCCCCTGACACCCCTGCACCGGCACCCCTGACACCCCTGCACCGGCATCCCCTGACAGCCCTGCACCGGCACCCCTGACACCCCTGCACCGGCACCCCTGACACCCCTGCACCGGCATCCCCTGACAGCCCTGCACCGGCATCCCCTGACACCCCTGCACCGGCATCCCCTGACACCCCTGCACCGGCATCCCCTGACACCCCTGCACCGACATCCCTTGACACTCCTGCACCGGCACCCCTGACAGCCCTGCACCGGCATCCCCTGACACCTCCTGCACCGGCATTCCCTGTACCCCCTGCACTGACATCCCCTGACACCCCTGCGACATCCCCTGACACCTCCTGCACCGGCATTCCCTGTATCCCCTGCACCGACATCCCCTGACACCCCTGCACCGACATCCCTTGACACTCCTGCACCGGCATCCCCTGACAGCCCTGCACCGGCACCCCCTGACACCCCTGCACCGGCATCCCCTGACAGCCCTGCACCGGCATCCCCTGACACCTCCTGCACCGGCATTCCCTGTACCCCCTGCACTGACATCCCCTGACACCCCTGCGACATCCCCTGACACCTCCTGCACCGGCATTCCCTGTATCCCCTGCACCGACATCCCCTGACACCCCTGCACCGACATCCCTTGACACTCCTGCACCGGCACCCCTGACACCCCTGCGACATCCCCTGACACCTCCTGCACCGGCATTCCCTGTACCCCCTGCACTGACATCCCCTGACACCCCTGCACCGGCATCCCCTGTACCCCCTGCACCGGTACCCCCTGAACTGGAGACCCTTTGCCCCGGTACTGCCGCCCTCCGCCTCTCTGCACCGGCACCCCGAGATCCACTGCATCCCTGCACCCCGATACCGGAACCCCTCATCCCTCCGCCACCCCTTCCCTCGGTGCTGGCACCAAGACCCCCACTGCGGTCCCGCCACCGCCCCCAGCCCCGTCCAGTCGGTGACACCCGTCACCCCGGCGTCACCCGCACCTTGGCGATCCTCGCAGCCATGGTCAGCGATGGCCAATGCCGGTGGGCGGGGCTTCACCGGGACACGCCCCGCGTCACGGAGGTTGAGGGCGGGGCCTTGGGCACCCCGGGGCAATAGAGACGGGGTGATGAGGGGCCGGACAAGCCTTGGGCAGCCGGGGGCCACCGGAGCCGGTAGTGAGGGGACAGACCTGCCCCACATGGCCGTGGGCATGGCCGCGCTGGCAGGGGGGCACCCAGAGGTGTCCGTGCCCCAGCGCTTGCTGGGAGGGGTGGCGAGGGCAGCCTGCCCCACAGCTGACTGCCGAGGGGCAGGAGGTTGTGTCTTCTAGTTCTGGGGTGGGAAGGCTCCTTGGGGACTGCATCCCCCCGATCATAGAGACAAGGTTGGGGAGCTTGAGCTGGAGCTTGAACGGTGAGACACCACACGAGTCATAGAGCTGGGGCAATTGGATGGCTAGACTGGCCCTTGTCACCGCAGGGATCATAGACAGGGGACAGTTGGGTGGATACACTGCCCCTCACCACCACAGAGGTTATACAGGGGGTAGCTGGGTCTCCAGAGCACCCCACCTCCCGAAGGGAGCCTGCCCCAGGGGCTGGTCCTCCAGCACTGCAGCAGCGTGAGACTGGAAGGGGGGGGGGGCCGCATCCTGCCCCGGGCGCCTGCGCCTGACACCCCCCCCCCCCCCCCCGGGCTGATTTACGGGAAGTGCCAGCAGCTCCTTAATCTTTAACCAGGCCAGGCCGGACCCGGGCACATCTCCCGGAGCCGACCGGACCCGCCGGGCCCCGACCCGCCGGCACCCAGGTGGGCCCAGGGAACTGCCCCTTCCTGTCCCCCAAACCCTGCGGCTCAGACCGGGATACCCCGGGGTGGGGTGAGGGAATGAGGGTGCAGGGAACGGGGGTGCAGGGTGCGGAGGGGTGGGAGGGTGTCGGGTGCCAGGGCTGGGCGCGGAGCTGGGGGTGCTGGGTGCCCTTGACCCGTACCTGCCCACCAGGATGCCCACCAGGATGCTCTGGCTGCCCCTCGTGTGGCTGCTGGCCACAGCCACGGCCACTGTCACGCTGGTAAGTCTGGCCTTGGGACACGAGCTCCCCTTACCTGAGCTCCCGGGTGTCCCCCTGCCCACCTCACCCAGGTCCCCGTGCACAGGTGCCCAAGCCAGAGACCTCTCCCAGCGCACCGAAGCTGCTCAGAGAGTCCCCGCTGCCGCCGGTACCGCCCCGTCCTGCCCCCGCACCATGGGGGGACGCGGGGGCCCCCGTCCTGCCCCCCCGAGTGAACCCCGAGCTACTGCCTGCCCCGGCTGCTCCCCACGAGACCACAGACCCCCCCAGCCCCGCAGCGCCCGAGGGGGCACACATGGAGCCGGGCACCACGGCCAGCGGGAGCACCGCAGCTCCAGCACCCGGCAGCACCAGCGGCAGCCCCGGCCCCAGTGCCCCCCCGTGCCCCGGGGACGAGGAGCCGGCCGAGCACTGCGGGAAGCCCACGGAGGAGCAGCGTGCGGCCGTGTCCGAGGCAGTGGCCACCTTCGCCCTCCGGTTCTACCAGCGCATGGCGGAGGCTGAGCGGCCCGAGGCTAACCTGCTCTTCTCCCCCATCACCGTGGCCATGGGGCTCTCGCACCTTCTGCTGGGTGAGGCGCCGGCACCGCGGCCGTGCCAGCCCGGGTGCCCCATGGGTGCGGTGCTGAGCCTGCCCCGTGCCTGCAGGCGCCCGTGGTGAGACCCGAGAGCGCCTGGCCGCCGTTTTGGCGTACCCCCCGGGGCTGGGCTGCGTGCACAGCGCCCTGCGGCTCCTCAGCACCGCGCCCGGGCTCTTCTCTGCCACCCAGATCTTCCACCACCCAGGTGAGGGGGTGTCGGGAGGTGCCGGGGGTACCGGGGGTGCGGGCTCAGGCTGACACCAGCCGTGCCGCCGGGCAGACCTGCACCTCCAGACCCGCTTCCTCAATGAGTCCTGGCGCTTCTACAACACCCGCCCGTGGGCACTGAGCGGCAACGAGAGCCTGGACCTGCAGCGTATCAACGCCTGGGTGCGCGAGGCCAGCCGGGGGCTGCTGCCGGAGCTCCTGTCCACGCTGCCTCCCGAGCCCCAGCTGGTGCTGCTCAGCGCGGTGCACCTGCAGGGTACGGCTCCAGGATGGGATTGGCGCCGGGATCGAGCAGGTCCACGTCCATCTTGTGCCGGGCCAGCGGCACAAGGACATGTGGAGTTGCTGGAGCGCGTCCAGGGGAGGGCATGGAGCTGCTGCGAGGGCTGGAGCAGCTCTGCTCTGGAGCCAGGCTGAGAGAGCTGGGCTGGGTCAGCCTGGAGAAGGCTCCTGAAGGGGAGACCTGAGAGCAGCTCCAGTGCCTAAAGGGGCTGCAGGAAACCTGGAGAGGGGCTTTGGACAAGGGCCTGTAGGGACAGCCCAAGGGGAATGGCTTGAACCTGCCCGAGGGGAGATCTGAGATGAGCTCTTAGGCAGAAACTCTTCCCTGTGAGGGTGCTGAGGCGCTGGCACAGGGTGCCCAGAGCAGCTGTGGCTGCCCCATCCCTGGCAGTGTTCAAGGGCAGGTTGGACACGGGCTTGGAGCAAGCTGCTCCAGTGGAAAGGGTCCCTGCTCATGGCAGGGGGTTGGAACTAGAGGAGCTTTAAGGTCCCTTCCAGGCCAAACCATTCTATGGCTCTGTGTCTGTGCCTGGGATCTGGTGAGGGGCTATTCCCGTGGTCACCCCTGCAACCCACTGAGCCCATTCCCGGTGCCGTGCCCCTGCAGCCACCTGGCTCACGCCGCTGGATGTGAAGCAGACGGTGCCACTGCCCTTCCTGCGCCCCGGGCGCCCCCCGCGCCTGGTGCCCACCATGACCAGCAAGAAGTACCCGGTGGCCTCTTTCATTGACCCCCACCTGCAGGTCCAGGTACCCCCAACGGCTGGGAGAGAGCTGGGGTGTGGGCTGTGACATCGCTGCTGTGGCACTGGAGGGGTGCTGAGCTGTGATGCCACTGTGGTGTCACCGGGGGCTTTCTATGTTTCGAGGTCCCACGGGTGTCACTGGAGGTCTCCATGTTTTGGGGTGCAGGGGTCTCCCGGGGGATGTCCCGGGGTGTCACTGGGGGTATTATGGGGTGTATCACAGAGGGAGTCACTGAGGGGGGTGCCACTGGAGGGGGGTGTGTCCCGGGGGGTGTGTACTCACTGTGGGGGGTGTTACTGAGGGGTTGTCTTACTCGGGGCTGTCTCACACGGGGGTGTCACTGGGGGCTGTCTCACTGGGGGATGTCACTCGGGGTCTCACACGGGGGTCACTGGGAGGGTGTCACTGTGGGAGTATTACTGGGGGCTGTCTCGGGGCTGTCTCACTGGGGGGTGTTAATGTGGGGATGTCACTGGGGGCTGTCTCACAAGGGGCTGTCTCACACTGGGGTGTCTCACTGTGGGGGTGTCACTGGGGCCTGTGTCACGGGGCTGTCTCACTCGGGGCTGTGTCACTGTGGGGGTGTCACTGTGGGGCTGTCTCACTCGGTGTCTGTCACTCGGTGTCTGTCTCACTTGGTGTCTGTCTCTCACTGTGGTGCTGTCTCACTCGGTGTCTGTCACTCGGTGTCTGTCTCTCACGGTGTCTGTCTCACTTGGTGTCTATCTCACTCGGTCTCTGTCTGTCTGTCTCACCGGTCCTGTCTCACCGATGCTGGCTGTCTCGGTGCTGTCTCTCACTGTGGTGCTGTCTCACTCTGTCTCTCTGTCTCACCGGTGCTGTCTCACTCTGTCTCTCTCGGTGCTGTCCCTCTCGATGTCTCTCTGTCTCACCGGTGCTCTCTCACCGGTGCTGTCTCACTCTGTCTCTCACTGGGTCCTGTCTCACCGGTGCTGTCTCACTCTGTCTCTGTCTCACCGGTGCTGTCTCACTCTGTCTCTGTCTCTGTCTCACCGGTGCTGTCTCACTCTGTCTCTGTCTCACCGGTGCTGTCTCACTCTGTCTCTGTCTCTGTCTCACCGGTGCTGTCTCACTCTGTCTCTCTCGGTGCTGTCCCTCTCGATGTCTCTCTGTCTCACCGGTGCTCTCTCACCGGTGCTGTCTCACTCTGTCTCTCACTGGGTCCTGTCTCACCGGTGCTGTCTCACTCTGTCTCTGTCTCACCGGTGCTGTCTCACTCTGTCTCTGTCTCTGTCTCACCGGTGCTGCCCGTCTCGGTGCCGGTGTCACCGGTGCTGCCCTCAGGTTGGGCGCTTGGCGCTGCGGGGGGGTCTGAGCCTGGTTCTGCTGCTGCCGCTGGGGCCGCCGGGGGCGCTGGGGGCGCTGGAGCGCGCGCTGGACCCCCCCGCGCTGCTGCGCCTGCTCCGGCGCGCGGCCCGCGCCCCACCCCGCGCCACCGCCCTCGCGCTGCCGCGCGTGCGCCTCGACGTGCCCCTGGACGTGGTGCCGCTGGTGCACGACATGGGTGAGCGCGCTGACGTCGTCCGGTGGCGTCACCAGCCCCGGGTCCCCTCCCCGGCGCCCCCAGTGCTCCCCGTGTCCCCGGTGGTCTTCAGTGTCCTCGGTGCTGCCCAACATCCCCAGGGACCCCAGCATCCCCAGTGCTCCTCAACGTCCCCAGGGACCCCAGCATCCCCAGTGCTCCTCAACATCCCCAGGGACCCCAGCATCCCCAGTGCTCCCCAACATCCCCAGGGACCCCAGCATCCCCAGTGCTCCTCAACATCCCCAGGGACCCCAGCATCCCCAGTGCTCCTCAACATCCCCAGTGCTCCTCAACATCCCCAGGGACCCCAGCATCCCCAGTGCTCCTCAACATCCCCAGGGACCCCAGCATCCCCAGTGCTCCCCAACATCCCAGGGACCCCAGCATCCCCAGTGCTGCCCAACATCCCAGGGACCCCAACATCCCCAAGGACCCCAGCATCCCCAGTGCTCCTCAACATCCCCAGTGCTCCCCAGCATCCCAGGGACCCCAGCATCCCCAGTGCTCCCCAACATCCCCAGGGACCCCAGCATCCCCAGTGCTCCTCAACATCCCAGGGACCCCAGCATCCCCAGTGCTTCTCAACATCCCCAGCGACCCCAGCATCCCCAGTGCTCCCCAGCATCCCAGGGACCCCAGCATCCTCAGTGCTCCCCAACATCCCAGGGACCCCAGCATCCCCAGTGCTGCCCAACATCCCAGGGACCCCAACATCCCCTGTGCTCCTCAACATCCCCAGTGCTCCCCAGCATCCCAGGGACCCCAGCATCCCCAGTGCTCCCCAACATCCCAGGGACCCCAGCATCCTCAGTGCTCCCCAACATCCCAGGGACCCCAGCATCCCCAGTGCTCCCCAACATCCCAGGGACCCCAGCATCCCCAGTGCTGCCCAACATCCCAGGGACCCCAACATCCCCAAGGACCCCAGCATCCCCAGTGCTCCTCAACATCCCCAGTGCTCCCCAGCATCCCAGGGACCCCAGCATCCCCAGTGCTCCCCAACATCCCAGGGACCCCAGCATCCTCAGTGCTCCCCAACATCCCAGGGACCCCAGCATCCCCACTGCTGCCCAACATCCCAGGGACCCCAGCATCCCCAGTGCTCTCCAGCATCCCAGGGACCCCAGCATCCCCAGTGCTCCCCAGCATCCCAGGGACCCCAGCATCCTCAGTGCTCCCCAACATCCCAGGGACCCCAGCATCCCCAGTGCTGCCCAGCATCCCCAAGGACCCCAGCATCCCAGGGACCCCAGCATCCCCAGTGCTCCTCAACATCCCCAGGGACCCCAGCACCCCCAGTGCTCCCCAGCATCCCAGGGACCCCAGCATCCCCAGTGCTACCCAACATCCCAGGGACCCCAAGCATCCCCAGTGCTCCTCAACATCCCCAGTGCTCCCCAGCATCCCAGGGACCCCAGCATCCCCAGTGCTCCCCAACATCCCAGGGACCCCAGCATCCTCAGTGCTCCCCAGCATCCCAGGGACCCCAGCATCCCCACTGCTGCCCAACATCCCAGGGACCCCAGCATCCCCAGTGCTCTCCAGCATCCCAGGGACCCCAGCATCCCCAGTGCTGCCCAGCATCCCCAAGGACCCCAGCATCCCAGGGACCCCAGCATCCCCAGTGCTCCTCAACATCCCCAGGGACCCCAGCACCCCCAGTGCTCCCCAGCATCCCAGGGACCCCAGCATCCCCAGTGCTACCCAACATCCCAGGGACCCCAAGCATCCCCAGTGCTCCCCAGCAACCCAGGGACCCCAGCATCCCCAGTGCTCCCCAGCAACCCAGGGACCCCAGCATCCCCAGTGCTCCCCAGCAACCCAGGGACCCCGTACCTTTGGTGTCCCCCACTATCCCTGCTCTCCCTCATGTCTCCACCACCCTTAATGCGCCCCATGGCTCCCAGTGCCCTTCATGTCCCCCTCGTCCCCACATCGCCTCGCTGTCTCTGGTCCCCTTGGGCCTCCTCATCCCTGACGCCCCCGGCTCCCCCCGTGGTGCCTCCACGCCGCCCTTCCTCGCAGACTTCGGGCTGTTCCTGGACGCGGAGCTGTGCGGACTGGCGCGGGGCGCAGCGGTGGCCGTGGACGCTGCGCGGCACCGCGCGGTGCTGGCGCTGGACGAGGCGGGCGTGGAGGCGGCGGCGGCCATGGCCGTGTCGGTGGCGCGCTCGGCTCCGCTGCTGGAGGCGCTGCGCCCCTTCCTCTTCGTCCTCTGGCACGACAGCGCCGACGTCCCCGTCTTCATGGGCCGCCTCAGCGATCCCCCGCCTTGACCCCCTCCCTCCATCCATCCCTCCCTGCTTCCTCCTCTCTTCCAACCTTCCCTCGGTCCCTCTCTGCCTCCTTCCCTCCAGCCCCTCTTCCATCTCCCCATTGTCCCTGTTTTCCTTCCTCCCATCCCTCCGTCTTTCCCTTCGTCTTTGTTTCTTTTCCCTCCCTCCATTCCCTGTCCCTCCATCTCTCCTCTCTTTCTTTTCCCCGTCCTTCTTTCCTTCCAAGCACTCTCCATCCCCATCCTTCCCTCTTTTCCCTCGCTACCTCCTTCCCTCCATCCATCCTTCTCCCCGGTTCCTTTTCTCCCTCTATTCCTCTTTACCCCCATCCTCCCTTCTCTCCCTCCCCATCTCCCCACTCTTGACTCCCAGCCCCACAGAGCACTATGGGCTGTGTGTGTCCCCGTGCCTCTGTTTCCCCACCAGCTCTGGCCCCCAATAAACGCCCTGAGCTCCGCACGGTGCCTGCATGGGGAGGGGATAGGGGCAGCCCGGGGGGGCGGGGCACTTTGGGGGCTATGGGGTTCCCTCCCCCGGGCAGAGCGGGGGGTGCTGACACCTCCCACCCTCCTACAAAACTGCTTTTATTGCCCTAGAAAAGCCCCGAGGCAGCGGCTGCACCGGGTGGGTGGGTGGGGGCGATGGGCACCTGCTGCCAGCACCCACCATGGGTGGTGCTGGGGGTGCCCCCCCCCGCACTCAGTCCCAGCCGTTCTCCTTCACCATGTGGGACATCTCGATGATGAACTTCCCCTCCTTGTACTTCTGGCTGCTCTCGAAGGCCTGTTCCTGGGGGTGGGGGGGGGGGGCGGTGCATGAGACCCCCGTGCCTGAGGGGGACCCTAGGCCGCGGTGGGGGGTGCCCAGGGGCTGCCCTCACCTTGGCTGCAGGATGCACAGGGGGAGCCACAGCCGGGGGTTGGGATGCAGAGTAGGGGTTGGGGTACCCGGGTGGGGCTGAGGCATGGGGCAGGGGTTGGGGTTCAGGGGCAGGGCTGGGCTGCAGAGACAGGGTTAGGGCTCAGGGGCAGGGTTGGGGTGCAGGGGCAGGGTTGGGGTGCAGGGGCAGAGCTGGGGTTCAGGGGCAGGGTTGGGGTGCAGGGCCAGGGTTGGGGTGCAGAGGCAGCGTTGGGGTGCAGGGGCAGAGCTGGGGTTCAGGGCCAGGGTTGGGGTGCAGGGCCAGGGTTGGGGTGCAGGGGCATGGTTGGGGTGCAGGGGCAGAGCTGGGGTTCAGGGGCAGGGTTGGGCTGCAGGGCCAGGGTTGGGGTGCAGGGGCAGGGTTGGGGTGCAGGGCCAGGGTTGGGGTGCAGGGGCAGAGCTGGGGTTCAGGGGCAGGGTTGGGGTGCAGGGCCAGGGTTGGGGTGCAGGGGCAGAGCTGGGGTTCAGGAGCAGGGTTGGGGTGCTCTGGATACCCATTCACGGGTCACTCACATATTTCCAGCCCAGGGTGGTTTTGCAGCTCTGGCAGAAGATATCCGCCACCGAGTGCAGCCCCGTCAGCAGCAGTCGCTGCTCCGCAGGGCCACAGCCCACGTTCACCCTGCACCGAGAGAGCCGTGTGCCACCGGCACAGCCCGGCACGGCACAGCCTGGCACCGCCAGCACCGCATCCCGGGTCATTGCCTGGTGCCACTCCCCCCCCCACCCCGGTCGCCGTCCCGGTACGCGGTACTCACACCGAGTTGAACAGGTAGGCACGGCCGTGGCTGCCCTGGAACGACTGCGGGGACACGGCGGGAATCACTGGCTGTGCCCCGCAGACCCCGACACCCCGTGTCCCCCCCGCTGCATCACCGTACGAGACAGCACAGGGGACACCTCGATGTGAGCACCATGGGGGTACCCTGCAGCCCGGGGGGGACACCGACTGCCCTGGGGACACTGGGGCAACGCTCAGCACCCTGCGGACCCCGCGGGGGACGTGTGCTATAGAGGGGTCCCGGGGGGGGACCCCGACTGCAGCGGGGACACCACGGGGTGAAGCTCAGAGCCCCTGGACCACCCCGGGGGGATGCTCAGAGCCCCAGGAGCACCTTGGAGATGAGCTCCTCGTGGCGGGCGAGGTGAGCGCGGCAGTGCACGCAGCTGTAGGTGCGGTGCGAGCGCGGCAGGTAGCTGCGGAACGTGCGGGGGGGCCGACGGCGGCGGGGGGGGGGGCCCGTGGCGGGCGGCAGCGCCCCGGGGGGCACCGCGGCCCCCCCACAGAGCCGCTCGCAGGGGAAGCAGCGCAGCAGAGCGCCCAGGGCCGTCCTTCCGCGGAGCACGAGGGCGGAGAGGGGGCGGCGGCCTGCGAGAAGATAACGGCGGGCGGTGAGGGGGGCCCCCCCCATAGCCCCGCCGGCAGCTGAGACCCGGCAGGTCCCCACAGCAGTGAGGGGCAGCGCTGGGGGGGACGACGACACGAGGGGAGTGTCACAGAAACGGGGGAGTGAGGGGCAGGGGAGAGGATCGGGGGCTCCTCCTGAGAGGGTCTGGAGAGCCGGGGGGTGTCCCAGGGGGACAGTGGGTGTCCGGAGAGAGGACACTGGGGGTCCTGAGAGGGGTGCGGTGGGGGTCCCGGGGAAGGGACGGCGTGCCGAGGGGGGACACTGGGCACCCCAAGGGGCGGTAATGGGGGTCCCATGGGGGACAATTGGGGTACGGGGGGTGCCTGTGGGGGGGTGATGGGGTGGGGGCTCGAGGGGGGTGTGGGGGGGCGGGAGCCGCTCACCGGTGTCCCCGCTGCCGCCGTTGCCGCTGTCCCCGGGGCGGGCACCGGGCGGGGGGGGGGTGCTGCGTGCCCGGGGACCGCATCACGGCACCGTGACTCATCCCGCGCCGTGACGTCACCGCCCGCACCTGCGACATCAGCGCCGCCGCCGGTGCCCAGCGGCCCCTCGGACCCCCCCCTCAGCGGGGTCACCGCAGTCAGGCGGGGGGGGGCGCTGTGAGCCAATGACATGCAGATGAGATGCAAATGAGTCGGGACCGCTCCAACAAATGGAAACCCGGCCTAACGACACGTAACGGAGGCAGAGGGGGGCGCTCGAGGCCCGTATGCAAATGATATGCAAAAGACGTGCGTTACACATCACCCCGCGCCGCTGCCATGGCAACCCGCGCCGCTGCTGCCCCCCCCTCCCCCCCCGGGCGCGCAGTTCTGACATCACTTCCGGCGCAGCTTTCTGCCCCGGAAGCGCGGCGGCTCCGGTAAGAGGGCTCGGGGGCGGGCGGGGGCAGCGGCGGTGCCATGGCAACGGGGTGAGCCCGGGGGAGGCCCGCAAGGGGCGGGAGGGGCTCGGGGCAGGCCCGGCCCGGCCCCGCTCACCCCGAGCCGGCGCCCTCCCGCAGCGCTGAGGGTCGCGCCATGGCGGACGACGGCGGCGAGGAGAAGAAGCAAGTGGCCAAGTTCGAGCTGGAGCGGGAGACGGAGCTGCGGTTCGAGGTGGAGGCGTCGCAGACGGTGCAGATGGAGCTGCTCAGCGGCATGGCCGAGGTGTTCGGCACCGAGCTCACCCGCAACAAGAAGTTCACGTTCGACGCCGGCGCCAAGGTGGCCGTGTTCACGTGGCACGGCTGCACCGTGCAGCTCAGCGGCCGCACCGAGGTGGCCTACGTGTCCAAGGACACGCCGATGCTGCTGTACCTCAACACGCACACAGCGCTGGAGCAGATGCGGCGCCAGGCAGAGCGCGAGGACGAGCGTGGGCCCCGCGTCATGGTGGTGGGACCCACCGACGTGGGCAAGTCCACCGTGTGCCGCCTGCTGCTCAACTACGCCGTGCGCCTGGGCCGCCGGCCCACCTTTGTGGAGCTGGACGTGGGGCAGGGCTCTGTCTCCATCCCCGGCACCATGGGCGCGCTGTACATCGAGCGGCCGGCCGATGTGGAGGAGGGCTTCTCCCTCCAGGCCCCGCTCGTGTACCACTTCGGCTCCACCACGCCTGGCACCAACATCAAGCTGTACAACAAGGTGAGAGCAGGAGCGCCCGTGGGGGTTTGGGCCTGGGAACTGACGCAGTTCAGAGCAGGTCTGTCCCATTGCTTTTGACTCCGCACAGGATAGCGGCATGTCCCTGCCTGAGCACTGCGCCCACTTGTGTGCGCCACAGCTCCACAGGGGTGTAGGGGATGCCAAGGTGGAGAGCAGAGGTGTGTAACAGCAATGATGGAGGGTCTGGAGAAGCCCCTTGAGGGAGCCTGGAGCGGGAGGGCTGAGGGCCTGTGACTGAGCTTCTTGCCCCCGGCCAGGCCCCTCACAGGCTACTGTGGAGAGTGAAGCCAAAGCTGTGGGTTGCATTGAGCGAGCTTGGCCCATGGGATTGTTGAGTGAGAGGGCACCAAGTGTGGGTGTGGCCATGGTCTGATTGCTCTGGTGTGGAGCTGGAGTGAGCCTGAGCGTGGTGGCTGTCACCATGCAGCATCCTACCCCGTAGGGTCCCCCCTGGATCTTCCTGCTGCTGCTGTTTGATGAGAGAGGCCTTGCTTGGCTGAAGGCCACCATAGCCATGTGCTGCCCTTGTCCTTGGAACAGAAAAGCAGCTCTCTGTCCTTTAAGTGCTTGTAGAACAATTTAGGAATGGTTTCTGCTGCTCTCAAGGGAAACTGGCCCTTGGGCTGTCAGCTGAGGGGGGAGTGAAGGATTTTATTCCAGGGGCCTGCTCAGGAGCTCGACATGGCTCTGGTGGCCCAGCAGCACATAACCAAGGGTCCTGGGGAAAGTGGAGTGTCACAGTGTCCCTGAGCAGTGGGACAGGCCCAGCCTCTGGCCTCCTGCCATCCCTGCAGGACTGCTCCATGGAGTTCTCACCGTGTGGTGCTGCTGCAGCGATTGAGATTTTGGGGTGTTGAAGGTGGTGGGGGTGGTGATGAAGTGACCCAGGACATGGGTGCCCCAGTGGGTGCCTGTGTCCTGACCCCTCCGCCCGTGTCCCCCTGCAGATCACGTCCCGCCTGGCCGACGTGTTCAACCAGCGCTGTGAGGTGAACCGCCGCGCCTCGGTCAGTGGCTGCGTCATCAACACCTGCGGCTGGGTGAAGGGCTCTGGTTACCAGGCACTGGTGCACGCCGCCTCCGCCTTCGAGGTGGATGTGGTGGTGGTGCTGGACCAGGAGCGGCTCTACAACGAGCTCAAGAGGGACCTGCCCCACTTTGTGCGCACGGTGCTGCTGCCCAAGTCTGGTGGCGTGGTGGAGCGCTCCAAGGACTTCCGCCGGGAGTGCCGGGATGAGCGCATCCGTGAGTACTTCTATGGCTTCCGTGGCTGCTTCTACCCCCACGCCTTCGATGTCAAGTTCTCCGACGTGAAGATCTACAAGGTGGGGGCTCCCACCATCCCGGACTCCTGCCTGCCGCTGGGCATGTCGCAGGAGGACAACCAGCTGAAGCTGGTGCCGGTGACGCCGGGGCGGGACATGGTGCATCACCTGCTGAGCGTCAGCACTGCCGACAGCCCTGACGACAGCATCTCGGGCACGAGCGTGGCGGGGTTCATCGTGGTGACAGGCGTGGACCCCGAGCGCCAGGTGTTCACCGTGCTCTCGCCCGCGCCGCGCCCGCTGCCCAAGAACTTCCTGCTCATCATGGACATCCGCTTCATGGACCTCAAGTAGGGCCGAGCCGGAGCGGCCCCGGCGCCCCCCCCCCCCCGGGTTTATTTTACACTTTTGTACCGGTTCTTATTAAACCTCGAGGCCTCTCGCTCCCGGGTCGCTGTCGGGGCTATCCGGGGCTGGTATCGGACCGGCCGGGGCGGCGGCAGCGCGGGGCCGGACCCGGTCACGGTCTCTCCACATGGCCCGGCCCCGCCATCCCCCCCCCGCGCACCCGCCGTCCGCGCGCAGGCGCGCCAGTGACGTCAGACGCGGCCGTGACGTCGTGCGCAGCCGCGGAGCGCGGCCGCCGTCCGTGCCCGGGAGTCCTGGTCGCGCGCTCGCGGCCTCCCCCCGCCCGCCGCCGGTGAGTCACGTGGTGCCGCGACCCCCCGCGCCCGGTGCAGCCGCGCCCTGCCCCCCTCGCGGGCCCCATCCCCGCCCCGGTCCCCGCGGCCCCGCCCCGCACCGGAGGGGCCGCAGCCCCGGCACCGGCCCGGGCCCGCCCGCGGGAGAGGGCTCAGACCCCGCTGCTCCCGGGCCGGAGCCTGCCCCTGCCCCCGCCGCGGCCGCCCCTCCCCGACCCCCGCCTCACGGCCCTTCCCGCTCCGCTCCCGCACTCCGGGCGAGGCCGCGGCCCCCTTGTGCCGGGGCGGCGGAAGCGCGGATCGACCCCCGGGAGCAGCCGGTAACCCCGCTCTGCGCGCCCCGGCGGCCGCGCTCCCGGGTTAGCCGGGCGGGGGGGGAGCGTTCGGCCGCGCCTCGCCTCGGGAGTCCCGGATCCCACAGCGCGGGGCGCGGATCCAGGCTCCCTGCGCCTGGTTTCGGTCACAGCCCCCGGCTCTCCGCCCCCCCGCCGCCCCCCCGGTCCGTGAGAATGGATCCTCTCCGGTCCGCGGTGCAGGAGCGGGCCGGGGCTGGGCGCTGCCGGTTCTTTGGGTGTCACAGGCGCTGGGCGCCTATGTCGGGGCCAGGCAGCGGCTCTGCTCCAGCTCAGTCCTTTGCCTTCTGGCCTCCTGAGGTGCGAGCTGGAGCTGGGGAGGGTGGAAACGGGGTCCTGCTTTAGAGACCCGCTGAGGCCGGTCCCAGCATCGCCGTGGTTCCATCACCGCGGTGGCGGTCCCAGGGGCGCAGGGCTGGGCTTGTTCCTGGGGAACGGGACCTTGTTCTGCCCTGCTCGCTCTGCAGAACGGGGCTAATCCCGGGTAAGCAGCGGGAGGCGGGCGGGCAGCTGCTGCCGGGCTGGGGGTGTGCACCCAGGGGTGGCAGCGCTCCACCTGTGCCTGCAGGACGATGCTGGGTCCCTGTGACCCGGTCCCACCCTCCCCGCAGAGCAGGAGCGTGGTGCCCGGTGCTGAGCACGCTCCTCCTGGCTTAAACACAGCAAAGTGCCACCAGATCACCCCTCTGGGGCAGGGTCTGCTTTGCCTCTGTCCAGAGGCAGAACCCCCCTCTGGCTCCTCACGTCTGGGTCCTATGGCCACAGGGATCCCCCTGCAGCAGAGTGGGGCTGGATGGAGCCGTTTTCATCCCTGGTATCAGACAGGCTTGGGGGCCAGTGGGGGCCGGAGGATTTGAGAACACTGCTGTGCTCTCTGCTGGGTTTTAGTGTGCAACCTGGGTGTGGGTGGGAGCTCGTTGTGCCACGACAGTGGAAACAGAGAGAGAACAGGGGTCCCCTCATCGGCAGCCCTGTTCTGGGGCTCAGCCCCCCCTGCAACCGGCTCCTCCCCTCGTTCCAGAGTGGCAACAGGTAGAGCACATCCTGCCCAGGGGTGATCCAGCATCTGCCCTAGTGAAACCAGAGCAGGAACAGGTAGAGCACATCCTGCCCCTGTGTGATCCTGGATCTGCCCCAGTGAAACCAGAGCAGGAGCAGGTAGAGCACATCCTGCCCCTGTGTGATCCTGGATCTGCCCCAGTGAAACCAGAGCAGGAGCAGGTAGAGCACATCCTGCCCCTGTGTGATCCTGGATCTGCCCCAGTGAAACCAGAGTGGGAACAGGTAGAGCACATCCTGCCTCTGAGTGCTCCTGGATCTGCTTCAGTGAAACCAGAGTGGGAACAGGTGGAGCACATCTTGCCCCTGAGTGCTCCTGGATCTGCCCTGTCTGGGAGGTGCCTCGCGGGGCAGGACCTGTTCGTGCTGGGCAGGGTTCCGGAGCTGCCTCCTCCCCGTGCCCTGCCCCGGGCGGTGGTGGCAGCGTGCTCCGGGGGAGGCCGGCGATGGGATGGGTGTGAAGCCTCTCTGGGGGCAGGAGCGTGGGGAGGAGGCCCCAGCAGCGGGTGCGGTGAGGACGGCAGTGCTGGGAGCT